AGGAGCTGCAGCCCCGCTGCCACAGGCCGTTTCCTTGGTTACTGCCTTCGGAGGGGATTTTTCCATGGAGGAAAGGCGCGGGTCCAAGTTCAGAGGCAGCAGCAGGAACAACGAGGGGTTCTTGCCCCTGGGGGCCAGTTGCTTCCTCTGAGGGCCACCCGCATTCCCTGCGGGACCCCCAAAACCCTGGCTGCCCCATGCTCGCCTCCTTGTCCGGCTCACTCCAGGCCCACTCGGAGCAAATCCTGGAGCGCTTCCGGCAGCCCTGGGGCCTCGCGGACCCACTCTTGCCGGGCCGGTGTGCAGAGGAAATCCAGGCTGTGATTTCATCCATGTCAAGGCCAAGGCGCTTCCAAAGGCTTTTCCTGGCAGCCATCGGGTTCCGCTCTGGGCTCACCTCCCACTCCTCCCCACGTGGGGAAGGAAAGAGGCTCCGTCCGAGCTCGTCGCATCCCTGGGGAGGATCCATCCGGGACGGAGCAGAGCTGGATGGCGCCATCCGACTGTTTGCAGCGGGCTGCTCGTGCCCGCGGGTGGCAGACGGCCCTTGGCACAGCCGGGGCGGCCGCGGGATCACAGGGCGGCCGGGCCCTCGCGGCGCCCCGGGGCTGTTGGCACAGGAGGGATGAGCGGAGCGCGCCGGGGGTGGGCCTGGGCTTGTGAATGGGATTGCAGTGGAGGAGATGAATGACTCGGCCTTGGCCCTGTGCCCCTTTCTGAAGGGGAGGGAAATGCTGAGAGGGAGCAGAGGTGATGCCGGCGGGTGAGGGAGCCCAGCGGATGCCTCCGCTCAGGAGCGTGGCCTCTCTGCAAACAGCCCCGGCTCCTGGCGGGATGCGGATGCTGGGCACGCGGGCACCCTCCTGCTCTGCTTGCCTTTGGGATCTGCAGGCACGGTGCTTGCTGGAGCATTGCCCAAGCTGGAGCGAGCAGGAGGGGTGCAGAGCCCTGCTATTTCAACGCTTGACTTGCTGGGAGCAAGACATTGTTAACCCTGAACCCTACTGATGCCCCCATCTTTGGCTACAGCCACTTTACTGCCTAAGTGAGCAGCCTGTGAGGAAGATGGGGGAGTCCAAGAGGCGATGGAGACCCATGGGTGAGGCCTGGCATCGCCGAGCGACAAGAGGACGCGGCCTCGCGGCCCCTGGCTTTGCCTTCCTGCCATAGGTGACGTCCGAGGTGCTCGGCAGGGGTTAACGTTGGACTGTTCCACTCCGCCGCCGCGACCCACCTTGCCGCTCCGCAATGGTTCAGTCAGAGCAGGGAGGAGGAGGAGAGAAAGAGGGAGGGGGCGCGCGCCAGAGAGAGGCAGAGAAAGATG